CGGCGGCTCGGTGGCCGCCCCGGGGGGAGCCCTGCTGCCCCGCTCCGAGGGCTGCTGCGTGTAGTGGGGTTTCTGGAGCGCCCCGCCCGCTGGGGCTTCCCTGCCCCGCACTCCACCACTGGCTCGGGGTGCAGACCCGCCCGCCCGATGCTGTCCCCGCAGGGGCAGTGGCACGGCGACGTCTTCAGTGGTCAGGGCCGCCTGGACCACTGCTCTGGGGCCACCTACCACGGACTGTGGATCAACGGGCACCCGGCGGGTAGGTGGCCTCTGCGGGCTCGGAGGCCTCCGGGGAGCAAGAGCAGACCCTGGCCGAGGGGCTCTGGGCACCGGCTCCCGTGGGGGGCCCGGTGCAGCTGACCTCAGGGGCAGGGACACCCAGGCAGCTCAGGGCACACACCAGGGCCAGGCCCCAGCCCCACGTCAGCCAGGGTCCCTGGGCACGGACAGCGGGGCCGGACGCCTCGGCCGTGCAGGGGCACGTGGGCGCTGGGGCCCATCCACCGGGCTGGCCGCCCCACAGCCGCGCTCTGCTCCCACCCAGCACGGGCCACGAGGATCTCGATTTTGGGTCCGGAGGTGCTGGACGTCGCCCCAGGGTGCCCCTTCACGGTGCATGTCCAGCTGCAGCAGGATAATGGGGCAGTGGCCGAGTGTAAGTGTCCGGCACAAGGACAGCGGTGTGGGCGTCCCCAAAGCGCCTGCCGCCGGGCAGCGGTGGGAGCAGCCACGCGGTCAGCCTGTGGGCACACGGTGCAGGCACTGGCAGCCCCCAACTGGCCCCTCCTCCCAGACGGGACAGGCCTGGCCTGCAAGGCCCGTGGCGGGGGCGGGGGGTGGCCTGGGGTACTGCCGGTGCCCCTACCGCCTGAGGGTCACCCTCACGCTGGCCCCTGGGTGGGGACGCAGCACTGCCCCCAGCTCTTCGGGCACCGCCGACCCCACGCGTGGCTGCAGTCGGGCACAGCCCGCTCCGCCCCATCTCTGGCGCTGGCCCCCGCTGAGCTCCTCGGGCACCGTCTGGGCGAGGGGCTGCCCGGGGCCCGGTCCTGCCCATCTGCCCGCCAGCCCCGGGGAAGATGCAGGGGCCGGTCTTGGGGGGGGCCCTGGCGCCAGACACAGCGCCCTGACCGGCTGCCCGGGGCCGGAGCCCGCATCCAGGCACCAGCCTGGCGCAGCCGCGGGCCCCTGAGCTGCCCAGGGCGCCCCGGACCGGGGCTCAGGCGGGGGCCAGAGGGGCAGCCCACAGCCGCCGGTCGGCATGGCGACTGGCTGAGGCCCTGGCGCCCAGGCGAGAGCGGGCGCCTCCTGCAGGTCGCGGCCGGTGTGCAGCTGCCCGCCCACGCGGAGCTCAGCTCCTTCTCGGGGGACGGGGAGCCCCAGGCGGAGCCCCTGCAGACGCCCTTGTGAGTACCAGGGCTCGGGCCAGGGGGCGGGCCGGAGGGCGCCAAGGCCTCTGGCCACCTGCGCCCTCCCTGGCAGTGGGTTCCAGTGCGTCGCCTGCCCGCTGCTGAGCGCCCTGGCTGGGCGGCCGGCAGGAGCCCGCTCGGCTCCCGAGGACGACCCCGACACAGCACCCTGCGGCGGCCAGGGGGCGCCCCCCTGCAGCCCTCCCGGTGAGTGAGTGCAGGTGGGAGAAGAGGGTGGCCCCTGCGGCCAGCCCAGAGGGACCAGCTCCTGCCCTGGGCCGCCCCTGGCATGCACCCGGTGCAGGGCCGTCGCTGCTCCTGGCCCCTGCCCGGGAGTGGCCGCTGTGCACAGGCCTGGTGCAGGCCGGGGGAACCCCCGGGGCCGTGTGGTCCTGCAGCCGCTGGCAGCCCCGCGCCCCCGGGCGGACGCAGGACCCGAGAGGTGCCCCACGGGCACGCACGGAAGAGCTGCCGTCCCGGGGCCCAGAAACGGCCCCCCACACACACGGGCCTCGCGGCGCCCGCGGGGGCACGACCGTGACCTCTGGGGAAACCGCGGCACACGAGTGTCTGCAGGTCCCGAGGGGGCCGC